CTGTTGAAATTATTGCGGTTACATGTTGCAGTTGCGAGGTATGTTGACTGGTTGAAAATTGGACAACTGTCAAATAGAGGTCAGAAGGATTGTTCTAGTAGATTTTAGAATCTTCTAAAACCTTCTAGAGCCTAGAGCCCTTCCACTTAGGTTACGTCATGTGTAGTACGCAAGGTGAATAAATTTCATGTTGCGCTACTAGAGCGTTCTTTTCTCTGGTTCTCGCGGAGTGAATGACATGGCGTCTAAGCTAAAAGTAACTATAATTTGGATTAGTGCTATCTCTGTAGGTGAGTGTTAGCGTTCGTTATTAATAGCGAGTACTGTATTTGTAATTCGATTATTTAGCTGGTTTTCGGAATCCGTTTTATACGATGTACAATATGTCGCACTAGTGCTTCGAAGAAGGGTAGTTTATAAGCTTGGGATTTACGTTATTACGATCACTGTCCATAAACTTTAAGAAAGGCTTCAATTTGCCTATCATCTTATTTGACCTACTGTTATTGATGGCTTGTATTTGACCGAACGAAGAAGAATATGTCAACGAAAACATCATGCAATTACGGTTTTTACTGTCACGTGACTGTGAGACGACCTTTGAGACCCATTCCTATCCCACATGCACAATGAGTTTTCTTGCTACTCGCTCATCATCATCATTTACCATCGAACTCCTCAAAACTGACTTAATACTTCTGTTTAGCGATTTTCCAACAATTTTGTTACTTTACTAAGAACGGCTGTGAAGTAAATTCTTTTGGAATATACTTAATATGGGTATTTCTTGGGAGTTAGATCAGTAATTTGTTCTTATTTTAACTGTGTTATCGACCAGTTGTTTTGTATTGATTGAAACTACCCAGTCACAAAAGGAATGAGTTGGGTTTAAGTATTTCCACAGGGCTGCTTTTTAAGACTTACCAAAACATTGCAAATACTTTTTGAGTGATGTGGCCCTTAAGAGACCTTAGAAACACAATGTTTTCTCATGTTCACTTCTTTATCCGCAGTTCAAAGATAGATGATTTTCATATGTTCACAGTATCAATGTTTTTCATTTACTTCCCAGAAAAAAAAAAGCATTTTTTCAAAGCTGAGTAAATCAAGTCAGTGAAAGACAATAATTTTGATAAATTATTAGATAGAACTTCAAAATTTTCTTCAACAGTTCCTTTAGGAGAAACATGGAACATGCAACTAAACATAACAGATCCAGGGGCAGATTACATCTACCTTAAAAAGGAGTGTCAAAAATGTGCCGAAAATCGCCTTAAAAAGCTTGACAAAGGTGAAACTGGAAATGGCACTTGCTACAAAGAGGTACCTGGGTGCCAAGAATATTGTGGCTTTCACCATATTGGAGAAAATGTTATAGAAGTCACAATTAGACTGCTTTTAAAGTCAATGGAGGGTGCCTATGGATTGTATTACTACTGCAAGGGGATCGCCCACAACTGTAACAGAGATGGGCCCATTAAGAAATTTTTCCTCATCATTGAAGGTAAAGTCAGATGGTTTACTTGTTTTTAAATGATTCATTTCTTGTCAGAATAACATGGTGGTCACCTAGTACACCACCTTACCCTAGATGTGAGGCAAACATTGGGGTAATTAGCAGTAGTATATAATGAGTAATTTCCAAAGAAATTGTACACTTGCAGTGACCTCATGCAATTTGCTTAGATTCTTACATTTATGGAAGAGATGAACCCCAAAGTTCTTCCATTCCCATAAACCACACTGAAAAACCCTTCCCATTTTGCAGATGCGCGAAACACTCCACAAAGAGAAAAAGCAACTACCGAGGAAAGCCCCACACAGATCACTGGATCTGCGATGAACATTCAACAATCAGCTTGGCTAGGTAATGCTTAATTGAGCCAAAAGCAAATCCTCAGCTTCTCCAGGAAAAAAGATTGTTTTCAGGCAAATGCATGCTGTTTGAAATACAGTGTATGATGTTTTTGTTCATTTTTTACCACAAAAAGCCAGCAAAATTCCTGTCATTATGAATTTCATTAGCCCTTTAATTAACTTGCAAGACCTGTATCCTTCCTCCATGGCCAGTCAGTACATTTTGCTGTAAATTAGTTAGGAAATTGTGTGTTATTAATCATCATGATAACACCCTTGTTCAACTTTGTCACTTTACTCTCACCAGCTCAGTGTTTGCCTTAAAAAATTGTCAGAATTTGATTAGTCATTGGGTGTTTAATGGTCTTTTAAGTAAATCTGGGAAGTAAATACCCTAATCCAATCACTTTCCAAAAGTATAATCAACATGCTTACTAATATGGGTACTTTTCTTTTTACTTTCAGCAAAGCTAACATCTTTGTTAGTGGTCATTGTGCCATACTGGGCCCTTAACAGACAGGTTAAAAGTAATTATAACTCTCCAAAAATGGAACCAGATCAAAAATCTGAGGACAGGCAGGATCACCTATTTGGCTCAAATGCATGTAAACTTGGTTAGGGGTTCTTATCTCGAAATGGATATTTAAAGGTTGAGCCATTTGGAGCCCATCTGGAACATGGAAACAAGGTTGATTGCATGGGCTTCCTTTGTTACAACTTTTTAATCAGCCGGTGCATGAAAGCTAAGTTAGTAAGCTTTAAAGATAAATGCGCTGAACCATGAGTAGTTGTTGTTGTTGTTAAAAGTGACTTTTTTTTTGCTAGTGTTGATGTAGGAAGTGTTCAGTAGTCTTTAGACACAAATAGGAGAATTTTTATTAGACATGAACTTTTGCATCATTTTTGAGTGAAAAGGAGAGAAGTCTTTATAAATTGTTGATCCACTCTGGGCAACATGAGGGGGGTATGGTAAATGAAAGGTGGTTTTTCAAAAACTAGCATAGGACTTGCCTGGAGGTTTGTTTAAGTATGCTGGTGACTGTCAGTTATGCCATTCTACATCAAAATACTATATCAAATACCAAAAAGAGCTTTAGCCATTTCCTCTATAAAGGGGGGGGGGTAGTATGTCGCAAAGCTACCAAAGAAACTTTTGCCAAGCTTATCTGGGTTAATACCTAGTTTAAGCTGTAGTAACTCTAAAAGATTATTTAGGACACAAATACTGTACCTTAACTATCTATAGTATATCAGTTATGACCTACTTTTCGATGCTCTCTTGAGTACATAATAATTGCTGAGAATTTTCTTATCCTGATCTCACTGGGACAAAAGAAAAACACCAGTCCTGAGGAAGGGGCAATTCTTACATGTTGGACCTTCAAACTAGTGTGTGAGCAAATACAAACTTTACAAGTACTTAATTGTACCTGACTGAAGTCTTTCTCCATCTTCTTTACTACCTTTCAAACCTCAGGTAATTCTTTATTCTAATTCAGTGACGTAACCTTGCAACAACACCTGTTGAAATTCTATCCAACACTATGCAAAGTGATTCTGTCAATAACAAGCAGCTCCAGTTACTGGTATTCTCAATGTTTAAAGTAAGAAAATCGAGGGCAAATGAAAATAATGGTTTTGATTAGAATGATTTCTATAAGCCTGGGTACTGCTGATGAATTACACTAATGTTATTAGATGCTAAATGCCTTGTGAACTTTTGTTTCTTTTCATCTTTTAGAGTGATATTCATTTGCCCATGAAATAAAGAAATGACTATTTAGTTTGTAGTAGTTGATAAAGAACAAAAGAAAACAAAAAAATTAATAGTACACCACCAACCATTAATTACCATATTCTTTCACAGAAACTAAAATTACTCTAAAAAACACTAACAGTTAAATAGTACTCGCCAGGTTTAGTAAAACCACTCTAACCAATAAACCAAAATGTATTAACCAAAGTATTCTAGCCCAGTATCTCCAATGGAAACAAACAAATTGGGAGGTAATACTACTAAATACTATATAAGTGTATTTCACACATTCATGAGAACCACTCCAACAACCCCATAAAATTAATAGTTCATCTGGTAATAACCTTTTGTGATGAACTTTTGTTTTCTTTTGGTTAAGAGTCATCACCCTAGCACTTGGGGCTCTTCATAATTTAAAGCTATCTCAACCTGAAACTTTTGTCAACCAAGAAAAATAAAACATAAGAAGACAGCTTGTTTGGCAAAAGACTTGCCGAATACAGGAAATTTTGCGGTAGTTAGATAACGGCGTAATATGTGACTAACAGTCTATATACTGTAAGATTTTATGCCACTAACCCAGTCGGTGATTTAATTATAATAAATTAAAATATAATTAATTTATATTACTGGCGTAAAATGTTACATATATATATATATATCACCGACTGGAAGAAATTACGCCGTTAGTTACTGGCATAAAATCTTCCATATAAAACTACCGACTGGAAGAAATTACGCCGTTAGTTACTGGCGTAAAATCTTCCATATAAACACAACCAACTGATGATTATCATTGGTCATGATTATTGTGCGAAATGACCACTAAGAATTGTGCGAACAGTCCAAAACTTGTGCTAAAAGACTTGTGCGAAAAGTGTTTTGTGCGAAATGACCGGTTACTGACTTGCCCCACTACAACCCAATTATATATGGCACTACCTGCCCCTGCCCCACCTCAGAAAAGGGTCTTCACACTACCTAACAAATGCTGTTTTCAGCTCAGTATACATATGTGAGAAACCTGCATCTCTGGCATACCAAGAGAGAAAGGAGAAATCAATAATTGCATAAAAAAAAACGTAGGCAAATGCAGGCACAAAAAACAAAGTTTACTTCCAACAGAAAGCCCAGGTGAACACAAATAAGCATCTTATTTGTAAGAAGTTAAAAAAATATATTACTAAGAGAGCATTGGAATGCAGAATCAGAAGGTCTGAGGTTTTGATTCCTCATGGGGACTCAGAATTTTTTCTTTGTCCCACGATTGTGACAAGACAAAAAACATCTTTCTCTATTTAAAAAATTTCCTACAAGTTAAGGAATTTGTTCATAGTTTAATAATTGAGTATTTTCACAGAGGATAGAAATATATTAAAACTACAGTGTCCACAAAAAGTTATTCCAGCCAACTATTGTGACAATAAAGAATAAAAAGTAGTTCAATCATTCACTCTGACCATAATTAACTCATTCTGAAACTGTTACCACATTTATTTGATTTATTACATCCATTTTGAAATCACCTGTGTTTGTTTAAATCTGATTGGCTCTCACCTGTGTTAATTATTCACAAATTACTCCATTTTATGCTCTAAATCACATCTTTTTCCCAGCCCATGACAGACAGCCTTACCAAAGCACAGTAACCAATCAAATTTCAACCCTTGTTTAAAGAATCAATCAAATTGCTAGAAAATGAGGCAACTTTTGCAACTTTTTATAAACCAGCTCAATACTACTGGATCACTAACATATCTGTGCAGGCTAAAAAAATTATCTTGTGTAACGGAATGTCCCAATTTCAAAACAGATGTAATACAATCATTATGGTAATTGAACTTAGTGCTGTTCAAATTTTGGTCAGAAATCATACTTGTGATTTTAAATCACAGTAACCCCAAGCTTAATCTTTTGATAGAAAATGGTTAAACTGAGGTTAATTCCTCCTGTTCACCTGACTTGCCCAACATTGTGTTGCGAGAATTTTCAGCATTCTCTCTAGCATGTTTTCGACACCACTGAACCACAATAATTATGCAGATAGCCATTAGAACAGCTACCAAAACAGTGGGAACAGCAATTTGCACAGCCTGATTACTTGCACTACCTGTTCCTAAAAATAACAAAAGACAATGACAAGAAAAAACAAGTTAGAGAGACCTTCTGGGATAAAAATTACACTCAAGTAAACACTTAACCCTTTAACTTCCAAGGTCTGATTGTTAATTCTCCCTTATAGCTGCTATACATTTCCTTCTGAATTAATTCAGAGAATTTGGTGTTAGATCAAGAAAAACAACTTCTATGTGACAAGTGTATATATTCTCATAACCTGTTTGCTAGATATTGTATGGATATTTTAGGGAGAAGTTACCTCTCAATCAATTTTGGGAGTTAAAGGGTTAATAGTTACTTTCATTTTCAACAACAGTATTTTTGATCCAAAAAAAAGGAAGGCAAGTTAACATTAGAAAGTTAGTCATTTTTATAGGCTGTAAATTTCTTAAGTACTTCATCCCCAAGTAGATGTGGGTAAATTTTGAATTATTGCTTACAGTGTTTTGCTAACTGACTTTAAACAGTTTTACTTTTTGTACCCATATGGCGGTGAAATCAACTTTATGGTGTACCTTTAGTTGTATGATTGTTGTTCTGATGACCTGTTGGGTCAGTATGGACTGATCCTGGGGTAAAATTACCTGGAAAACCAGCTGTAAAAAGGAAATAAGAGAAAACAGTTAGTCACTTCCAAATAGCTAGCACACAATACATATCATTTTTATATCCATTGCCATGGTTGATACATTTAATGAAGCTAAGTTAAACAAATTCTTCCTGTATACTCATTGACTGATCATGGGAAAGTTTAATTTATTGCAGAATCTTTCTTTGTTGTTGTTGGATTGGTCATACATTAAAATACTTATTATTGACTCAGTTCAGTCAAGCAAAACAAGGAAATATGGGTTTCTTGCCTGGTCCCCAAATAAGACAACTAGACCCACGTAAAATGTAACTAGACCAGTCATAATGAATGCAAAACTATTTCAGATATTTCCTCACTCCCAGGAGTGACCAAATATGAATTTTCCCTACAAAATTTATTTACTACATTTTCAAGTAAAAATGTAACAAGAAGAAAAGGAAAAAAATTTGGGGGATATTGTTTAACTTAACACCAACTTGTCTAAGCCAAAATTTTAAGAAATCTATGGATTACAGTGAAGAGAATCAATATTTTGATCATGGGAGTGAAAGGGTAATTCTTTTAACAAGATGCTTGAATATACAATACCAGCTGTGAATGTGGCCACTGTTGGCATTTGTTTTCCCTCTGAAAGGAAAATAAAACAAAAAAACAATTCACTTCTCGAGATAGCATACTGATATTTCCACTAAAGAAAAGATTGATTTAAGGCTACTTGAGTTAAGTACAGTCCATAATGGACACTCTCTTAAGCCAACAGCTCTAACTGTGGATCAACACTTTCGTTAATTCCCCCTTCAGCAGCCTCCCTTTCAATACCGTATTTACACATTCCCTTAAGCAGACACTTTCATAAACAGATGCAGACACTTTTAAAATTGAAAATTTGAATTTTCCTTTTGCCTTCTCTTACTTGTAAGTGGACACCCTATGTATAATGATTGATTCTTGGGAATAAAATTTAAGTCATGAATTTGCAAATCAACTCAAATATGATTTTTGACAGGGCAACCAAACAGTGGGGATTGGGAAGTCATTAGGGTATGGAATTGGGGATTGGAAGTCATTAGGGTATGTATCTTGCACCAATCATATAACAGCATTTGGATATCTTGCACCAATCACAGCATTTGGGTATTGTTTACTTGTGAATGATGTCAAGGATCAATGGGGCTGTGCACAAAGAATGACATTAACCAGATATTTTGGGCTCGTTTGTTAAGTATAATGGTTTGTGGCCTTTGCAAGAGCCTCATTGATTAAGGTCGAGATTTATCAGGATATGAAAGGTTCCCACGTAAATTTTAAAGTTAAAAACTTTTTTTTTCCACTCCTTTACACACAACACACACACCCAACAACCTACATTCCATTGCTTATCATGAAAACAACATTCAAAGTCCAATCAGAACATATTCAATCATTGCATTACATGAATATTAGGCAATTTTTCACATGCTTGAATTTTGTCCCACCATTCAAATTCAATTTTGTCACATTAGACTTTGCTCCATCACGTGTCATTTTCTTGTAAACAACCTGCATTTCATTATGTATTCTAACTGAATTATTGAGACAACAGAGACAGTAGACCACATAATATCTGTGTGAATTCAGATAAATTGGTTTTATTTTAAAGTTATGCTCTTTTTGGTGACTAAAATGAAAACATCAAGTACACAAACTGTCCCAACTCAATCCCCCCAGCCAAAATGAGAGCTCTTGCATGCCATGCTTGCCTATGTTTACAGTAAAAGGCACATGAGATGAGTAGCATTTCGAATTAAAATTTTGCTCCTCAACAAAGAGAGTGTAAAACCATAGCAATGTTGTGTTTACAGATGTATTAATGCTTGTTTTGTAAATTTTAAATTTGAGGTGTGCACTTTGTAAGTACTCATCTAATTTATCTTACTTATCTGCACATATGCAATTAATCTTAGATTTAAAAGAGGTATCTATAGTCTAAATTTAAATTATAGAATCACCTTGAATGTACTTCAGAAAGAAGATTTGATCGTGTCGGTGTTCTGTTTCATTTGTGTCGTGAGAAGTCACGACAAAAACAAGTGCATGCACAATGACTGAATGTCCTCCTAGTGTGGTATTTGAGAGGCCAAGACAGAATACCATAGAGACTTGCACCAGGCCAGTAGAGGTATCATTTACCAGGCTAGTCATAAAGATAACAGCCTCCTCCAATTTGAAATCTTGAACCACCATTGGGTTCACTCTAGCCTCAAATACTCCAGAAGAATTGGGTCGAAGAGAAACAAGACTGCCACCAATATCTGTTGCATTCAATTTGGAGAAGACCGAGAGCTCGGCTTCATCCACTGAAGTGGTGGTACTTGGGAGTAACATTATGCTCTTGGCTGTTACTTTGTGCTGGTCTTTTGTCACCTGGATGGTTTCAGGTGGAAAGGTATAGCTACCATCATCATTCCTTACACCTTCCCCTACAATCAGAAAGCATAAATATCTCCTTTAATGTACTAAGTTAGCTTGATTTTTAACATACAAGATCAAACAATCCAACATCAAACTTTACATGTGCTGAACCTCACACGGATTTGCATCAACCCAAATAATTAAGTTTGACAGTTGATTCAATTGTTGAACCTAATTAAGTTGAACTTAATTGGGAGAGTGAACATGAATATTGCAGTCAGCAGTTATTGATAACCAAACTGGAAAAAAAAAGTAGGAAAGACAAATTGTGGAAACAAAGAGCTCATTTTTCTTGCAAGTGCAATGAAGGAGGGTAGAAGAGGGCAATTAAAGATGTGGTTAGCATTAAACAACCACACTACCAGGAGGAGATGAATTTTGAATTTGGCTTGCCTTCTATTATTGCTCATTTCCCAAAGGAACATCACTATTCTTTTTCCAGTTTGTACTTGTCATCTGCTAAAAGATACACTGGCTGGTGGGAAAATGTTTGCAAAAATGCTTTTTCTTGCCACCGAACTGCCTGCTTTCCACCCCATAACATTCTCATCATTTTCAAAAATGGTATACCACATATAGAGGTAGTTCATGCTCCTCAGGCATGTATAGTTTGTGCTCTCGAAGCAAGAGAACACACACTTTGTGCTCCTTCCACCATTTTGTTGCAAAACAGATTGTAGGAGCGCATGACAAATATATGAAATGTGAAGAACTCTGGGCAAAAATGTTTGCATTAGATTCAGCACATGAAACTAACAGATGTCTTGATATTTTCCTACCCATCTGGCCCAGGACAAATTATGCTTGTGAAACATTGGAAACCATTTCAGTTCGCAACTCTAAGTAATTTATTAGGTGGCAAGATGGCAATGAAAGAATCAGACCAAAATATCAGACAATCTAAAACTCCCAACAGTGACTGAATCATGTAACTTCTCCCTATAATATCCAAACACTATCCAGCAAACAGATAGTGAGAATACTGAAACTTATCAGGTAGAAGTTATCTTGATCTTCAATGCCAGTCCTTTTAACACATTTAAGTTTCTGTCTGTCTACTAAACTATTTATTATGCAGACATTTTTGTGACAATTTAAAAACTTAGTGTTGTTGTTCATCTCTGTGTTGAGATCTCTTTTTGTTAGTGAAACTCACTGTCTTTTTTTCAATTTGAAGCATCAAATTGATTAATACACAAAGCACACGAAATATTTTTTGAGAGTTCCACCTGGCATCCTTAGTGGATTATTATGCTATCATTAAAAAAAACTAACAACCACTACTACAAAACCTTCTCTTGTCACAATTGCTACCAAATTTATGTCAGTTTTCTGGGTCTGCCATAATAAGTGACAACTCTGAAGATACAGTGTCTTGGTTATTTTAGTAAAAGCAATAACTTTCCAAGAGTTACCCTGCTAGCAGTGTTTTTGGCAAGCCATGAAGTAAACAGGCGAGCAGTATTGAACTCATCGACTTACAACCGGAATTAAAAAACTCTATTGAACTTAAAGCTATTCAGGTACTTAACAGATAATTTATACTAATTTTTCAACAATAGCTACCCTCATTCACGATTCACAGGGAATAAAATAAGTATAAATCGATAAATACTTAGCAAAAATACTTGCCTGCCTGTATTAACTTGAAGAAGTGAAAGCTCGTAGGCAAACCATTCAGGGCCATAAAATGTAATTGAACAACCGAAAGCGGTACACTGCTTTCCTTTATCTTTAGAAGAAAAATTAGCTTTGCCGAGATTTCGGCTAGGACCATCCATTTTCCATAAAAATAGAACAATTTTACTACTCACGAGCGAATTTCACCAAAATCGCTCATAAAGATACCACACGAGTCAACCCCAGCCTCGTTCTCGTTTGCGCGGTTATATGTCCAGTATGGCTCCTTGGCCGCGAAAGAAAATGTTATTTGACGTATGAAATGAAGTCGATCTTTTGCTGATCTACTCGACATGCTCGGTCGAATTGAACGGCAGGTCGACCCAAATACAAATATGTCGAACTTAATTGATTCAACTTTACATCTTCCGACGTTTGAAGCGCGCCTTAGTTAGCTTTATTTTTCATGTACGAAAATCAAAATGTACAAAATCAAGCCATGTGCCATATCACTAAATAAAATTGCTGACTAATTTACTAGTACAGAAATAAAAACAAAAGATTCCTCACCGTCAGCGTGCGAAGTATGTTGCAAGAGATAAATCACAAGCAGAGCATAAGCGCCCATGGTTGAATTTATAGTTCTTCTGAAGATTTTCCGAAGACGGTCTCGTACACTGTATCAAAAACCTGTTCTCGAGCCCAGGCTCTTTTGAATGCGACAAATTGTAAAGCCGCATAAATTATGACTGATTGTGCGACATTCAATATTTGTCACGCAAGATACGACTTCGCCGCACGGCGTTGGCCTTTACAGGAATATCAAAGCACTCAGTAACTGGGTACGGTAATTGAGTAGAAATCCGCCTTGCTAAAATTACAATTGGCCAATTTTTGTTCCTCTTGCACCACTTTATCAGACAATATTCATCTCTTTAATTGACTGTAATTTCTTACTCTCTTTTCCAAAACGGCAGAGTTCTTCGGCTATCTCATTCTTCACCTATTCAAACATGTCAACTTTGGAGAATACTACGTTATCTTTTACTTATATTTGTTTTATCTCTCCCTCAAAAGCTTTTTTAGATTACATTACAAAGCCATTTGTTACATTTTCATTATAGGACCTTGTTGTTCTTGTTCCGTTGGAAAAATTGTCGCTACCTAAAATTAAAGGGTAACTGACGGCTAGAAGGTCACTTTTTCGGAATACCGTCTAAATGCCTCAGGTAACACATGGAAACAGAAATAAGGTGCTTCGAATGCCTCTTTGTGCCTTTTTTCGCCGGGAAAACTGTCCTAAATGCAGCTTCGTGAGTCATCCGCCATAAATGCTTCAATTTTGATCATGTGACCTGTACGTCACACGTGTGCACACTAAGCAAAGTAAATGTGGCGGACAGTAGCTTAACTGAAAGCAGTTCTACTTCTGGGTCCGATTATTCCGATTTTTAGGCCTTTATAGAGGGTGAAGATAATGAAATAATTTATGAACCTATTGGTGAAATTGGTCCCTGGCGATTTGAACCGCCAGGACGAACCGAGAATACAGTGTGAGAGTTGGAAGAGAATCAAGAGCCCGTGCGCCGCGGCCGCCTCAATCAGGAAAGCGACGAGTGGTGAGTACGATACGTTTTTAAATATAGTGTCTGAAAATCAGTCGCTTATTAAATATAGAAGCGATCAGGTAAATAAAAACCAAATGTGCAGACTCTTGAGTAGCTTGGAAGCGACGTGATTTATGCTACACGCAGGCACCTTCCGAAGCTTAGGTTTCACAGACTGAAAATAACACGCTTGTGGAGGTGAATTGGATGGATTATACACGTTTCCACGAGATTGAATCGGTTTTAAGTTTTCCTGTGTTGAATTTGGCGAACGACTATAGATTTCTAGGCTTTTACTTTAAAACACGATGCAGCGAAAAATAGCATTTGAATTGAACAAAGTCCTCATAATAACTTATTGTTGACTCATGGTCTTTGCACCTTGTTTATAGCCTAAAGTTTGAGTTGTCTTTCACGTTTGTGATAGTAACAGGGCTTACAACTGTCCCTTTTGGTGAAAATAATCAAACAAATTGTGCTCTCTATTTCTCCTATTCAACATCGTGAAAAAGTTCGTTACTTTACTGATTATTTATTACAAGGTGTCAGTGTGGAAACTGCCAAGCGATGGAAAGGGAGGAAGAGAGCATCTGTAGCCAAGAAGTAGATGCAGTTAGGAATAAAATTTTGGTGGATGTCATGAAGGAACAGTTGTAGGCAGAACCCAGATGTATTGTGCAGCATCCAGGGTTTGAGGCAGTTTGCCTCAATATCTGGGTTCTGCAGACAGCTTGGCTACAATACAAGCAGCAGTATGGCTCTTCTGCATATGAGGGGCCTGAGCATAAGAAAAACCGCCACATTGCTTACAGGCAACTAGTCAGGTGGTGTTGGGGTACTCTGGGCAAAAATATCTGCATCCCTTTGCCTTCTTGTGCTGTGAACTGCATACATGCCCACTTTCCAGAGCCCAACCAGCTGGAGGAGGACATGGTTTTTACTGGTTTTACTTATGCAGATGAGTAAACTTTAGTGCAAGGGTTAAATTTTTCTTTTCTCTCCTTTTGTTATTCCATTAACATTTTTCTCCAAAAAATAAGTTTTTATCATACATATACATGTATTCTTGTGGTTGAATCCTCTTCTTGAAGAAACCTTTACTTATGTCACTAGGAGATAACTTTTGTTTTCAAAGTCTCACTTAGGAGCTCAAATTAGCTGAAACTGGCACATGCTAGTTACAATTTTTTTCTGATACATGCTTTTATTTCACACAAAATAACCCTTATCCAATTTACAATGATATTTTAGGTTTTAGAATCACAAGAATTTAAGTATTGGTTTTTATATACTTAGGTCAACTAGTTCACCTGATTAGTGCGGTTGTATCAGCTGACATAATTCTGAACAGTCTCTTCTTTGTCAGGTCTCTGTGCATTTGCAGTAAGGGGTGGTGGGGTGTTGATGGCCAAGTTTGTCACATACTCCTTGAGATTCCTTGGATTTGCCTCATATTTTGCAAATAAGTCCTTTATAACGCTGTAGCAGTAATCTGTAAATTGAAATGCATTATTAATTTCCTTCTTTGTTCTTTATGAGGTGGACCTTGAATTCGTTATTTTTCATGGCTCCCAAATATAGGTAGTTTTCAAAGGCTAATTCTTTGCTTGTGTTAATCCATAAGCTAAAAAGTGCAATCTCTAACTTCCTGTGCCCCATCTACATCATACCCACCATGAGAAGCTTGTGTTTTGATTTTTCTTACTGCATGATCTCCTTTTTCAGCTTTTGGAAATACAACTGAGTAGCGTGGCCTGCCTTCATCTGTCACTGCCTGCATCCTGTCTGCATTGGTGTTGTAATGCAGGGCAGAAAGGCACAATCTGTTAAATGATTTAAATATAAGTGAATATCTCAGGGCAATGTTTGCAACTTTGTGATCTGCAAAACATGTAAAGAACCAAACAGAGTGAGAATAGCAAAGGGAAATAGTCAAACCTAGTATAAATCCCCCAGTAAGAGAAGGCAGTGTGCTTTGGCACAAACTGGATGTCCAGGCTGTGCTTGGCTTCCTGAGTAGATGTCTGGTATTTTGGGGATAGTTGTGCTACATCCTTCAGCAGTTGAGGCTTCAGTAACAACTCATCCAGTTTAACAGCTGGGCATGAGCCTATGAGTTATGAAATCATATTATTGCAAACCTAGTGCTTCAAATTACAATGTATTACATAGACTTATGAACAGCATAAAAGTACCCTCAGGCCTTTGAAAAATCTTTACATTATTGAAAGTTTCTGTTGTACACAACTTTAATTTCTTTCCTTACACAAGAAATTATGAAAATAAAAATTGTTTTATTTTTCTTTAATACTAGCTCAGAGCTAAATCCAGCTACTTTTGCACCGAATCCTTCGTAGTCGTCAGCTGAGAAATGGTCGCTGCAAATGTGACCCGAACCTGGTGTCCAACCATTAGGTTCTCTTTTTGTTCGCACAAATGCAATCCATTGTCGCTGCACACTTTCATCAGCTGGAAACTGGTGAAGGCTGAGACTCCGTCTGCATTTGTTTTTTTACAAAACATCACTACACAGCGCTTCCCTGGTTTCCGTTTTTTTCTTTTTACATCCTGTTGTTTTCCGTCCATATTGTAAAAGTAAACGCGGCTTGTTTTATTTACGAGAAACGAGCGAAAGTAATTTACTGTTCACACAGCTGACAGTAACAAATTTTTGAAACGAGTATCCTTTCGGACAAATTGATTTCATTATGTTTCCGGTCGCAAATGAGAAACAACACTTGAGTGTGTCGCTCATAACAAGGCGTTTCTTGCAGCACGTTTCTGTTATTATTCACTTCCACTGGAAATTAATTTAACTTAGGCACACAAATGTGCTATATATGCTGCTCAACGTAGCTTAGGCACACAAATGTGCTATATATGCTGCTGAATGTTAGTTGTCATCATCCCTGGAGAACTCTCAGCTAGCATCGAAAGAAATAAACGAAAAGTTACAACAGCAAAAAGTCTTCCTTTGTGCTGCTCACTAGTCTCCGTTAAAAAAAATTTAAAAAAGGATAAATTTGTACATTTCCGGAACGTGGAAGAAGAGTTTCGTTCACGAGACCAGATGAAGTTGTCGCTTTCAGGTCTTACATGACTCTTTTCACTGCCTTACACACGTGTGACGTATCACATCATTTGACCTAAAATCGAAACGTTTTCAAAATGGCCGTCGATTGAGCGTCAAAAAAAATTTGTAGAAAATTTGGTTTTGCGCAATATTTCGTTAACTTTCTCTTTTAGGATTCTTTAAAGTAAGAGGAATGTAATGGGACAAAAAAAAAAAAAAGAAAAAATTTGGCGTCAGTTACCCTTTAAAATAACGCTATTTGAGGAATAGCAAAGAGGGTGAGAATCAACGTTACACTTGGAGATCTAATAGTCTTGTGGGCTGCTTTGACTTTTTCTAAAATTAGCAGCCTAAAGATTAGACAAGAATCCAGCGAAAGACAAAGTATCGCACTGAAAGGACAGCGTCAGCGAGAGCCGCATCTTGCGTGACAAATACTGAGTAACACCTGGCATAATAAGTCATGATTTAAGCGTCGTGCTCTTCTCGGCTCGGTGCTTTACAGGCTCTATCTTCATTGTTTGATTGCCGCGTAAAAAACTAAATATTTTGGCGGCCTTCTGTCTGTAAGACTCGCGTTTAAAGAGCGAAATCAAGTACCCTTGACCGATGTTTTCCTTCAAATCGTGGCTCGTAAATTGAAAGATCTATTAGATGTCATGCCTGACAAAAATATCTCTTGCCCCGTGGCGGGATGAAGGCGCCTTTAAAGATTGGTAGGGCTTAACAAAATTTGCCAATGTTTCCTCCATTATCTTTTCGGGGTTTACGCTATTTTGATCACTGTCCATGACTTTAGGGGGGGGTTTTAATTTGCCTCTTATCTTTACTTAACCTAAAGTCATTGATCGCTTGTAATCGACCGTAGGAAGTAAAATATTTCATTGAGTAAATCAAGCGCAGTTACTGTCACATGACTGTGAGATGACTGTGAGATGACTGTGAGATCAATGTGAGATCCCCTCGCGGTCGCACATGCGCAATGAAGTAACCCTTCGAGAGTTTCTTGCTATCCGCTCTACATTTCAATGGTTATTTACCGTTAAACTCCTCAATATAGATTCAAATACCGCTGTTTGGTGATTGTCCAACGATTTTGTTACTTTGCATAGAACGGCTGTGATGTAGACTACTTTTATAACATAGCTAGTAAATTCTATTGTGCACGCTCATGACGTCAGCAAACAAATCCCTCGAGAAAAAAAATTTTCCATCGGGTTAAAAATGCTATAAAACAATTGAATCATAAGTCAGCTGTGCGTTCATCGAGATATGAAGCACTTGGGAAGTTTGGAGAGCACTCGAGAAGCTAGAGTTGCTCTCCGCTACGCCTCGAGCAACTCTTACGCATCTTTCGTGCTCTCCAAACTTCCCGCGTGCTTCATATGTCGATGAACGCACGCTGACGAATGAACCAATTGTTAAATAATGGGTATTTCTTGGGAACTAGATAAGTAATCTGTTTTTATTCTAACTGTGTTGTGGATTAGTTGTTTTGTATTAGTAGAAACTACCCCATCACAAAGGGTATGATACCGGGAGATGGGTTTAAGTATGTCCACAGCGCTGGTTTTCAAGACTTATCAAAAAATTGACTTTTTTGTCTTTAGTGACCCGTAAGAGACCTTGGTAACACAATGTTTTTCTTATATTCACTTCTTTATCCGCAGTTCACAGATAGATGATTTACATATGTTCACAGTCACAATGTTTTTCATTTACTTCTCAGGTGTGATGGAACAAGTTACAGTCAAGCCAGTAGCCGCTGAGAATTATACTGACAACTTCACAAGTACATTTTTATTTAAAATTCATCTCACTAGTACTGATTTGCTAAGACACAGAAATGTCTGATGTCAAACACAATTCTATGTCCATTAATTTACTTTAACCTTTTAACTCCCATTAGTGACCAAGACAAAAGTTCTCCTTACAATACCAATACAATATCAAGCAGACAAGTGATGAGAATAAAGAAAAATATCAATTAGGGTATTCATAGTTCATCAAACTAACATCATTCATAGTTCTTCAAACTAACATCATTTGAATTGTATGGCATGCAGTAGGGAGAATTACCAATGAGATCTTGGGAGTGAAAGGGTTAACTATGAACCTACATATCTTATAGCTTTTTGCACCAATCAGTCCTTCGGTGCATTTACAAGGACTTAGCTATAGCCCATTACCAGACCAGTAGCTGGGAATGAACCACCTTTCAATCACACCCCAAGCTAGGTAGCAGCCATTACCGTCATAAAAGGACCTCTATATGATTTTAATATAATACGTCTTTTGACATAGAATTAAACTGAAAATGACTGTGGTGCTAAAAGCATACCCTTTCCACTGCTGGTTATTGGACATACAGCTGAAAGTAACTCATTCTCTTACATGGCAGTTTGTGGACTATGTCTTTGTATGTCCCAAGGTTTAAATTTCCTTATAAATTGCCATATGAATATGTTTTTGGGAGCATATTAATTTCCCAGGGTCTCATCACGGATTTCTTTTTAGAGAAGGGCAAGGGAGGTTACCAAAAAACTCTATGAGGGCTGCCAGAATAAGTGAATACCTGAGATAAAATAGGCATCTTTTTGTTAAAAATTGCCAGTTTTCTGTGATGTAAATATATTTGGTTCAAGGTTTTGAACAGGAATGATAGGGTGCAAACATGCAAGTTTTTAGCTTTTTGCATGTTTTATAATAAACAGGAAAAGATGTGTGATGATATACAAGCAAACCACCTTAATACAGGATTACAGTGTTACATGCCTTCGATTCATTATAATGTCGTGTACATTCTTGTGCTGAAATGCTACTCAATACAAAGCAGCTGTTTTTTAGGTTTTATTTTTGGGAAAGTGGGAGAAGAGAGGGAGGGTGGGGCTAATCAGAAAACCTCAAAAAAGAGTGTCAAAACTGCACAGAAGATTGTGTTATGAAACTCTCCAGAGGTGAAGCTGGAAATGGCACCTCCTACAAACAGGCACCTGGGTGCAAGGAATATTATAGTCTTCACTGCATTAAAAAAAATGTGGTACAAATCACAATAATGTTACTGTCAAGGTCAGTGCAGGGTGTTTGCGCACTGTACTACTACTGCGAGTGGACTGCCCACGACTGTAACAGAAATGGGCCTATTATGAAATTTTTGCTAATCATTGAAGGTAAAGCTAGATGGTCTACTTATTTTAAAATAGTTCATTTGTTGTCAGAATATCCCGCTGGTCACTTAACCCTTTAGATCCCAAGATCTAATTTTACATGTAAACTTGGTTAGAGGTTATGATCACAAAATGGATATTTATAGTTG